GCCGTCGAGTCGGCCCCGACTCATAGCGACCCCTCCCTGGGTTTCCGAGGCAGTTATCACTACGGAAGTAGGATTGCCCAACCTTCCTTCCGAGGGTAATAGGCGTCTATTGGACAATTGTATATAGAAAATCACAGCGATTTATTTCAGGAACTAATTACAAGAGGTTTTAAGCTCACTCAAAAAGCTTTCAGGTGGAATCATAAAACAATACTAGTGGATGTTTACACAGCTTTAACCAGATGTTTCAGGAGTGGGTGAAAACTCTTCTTGGTGCCAGGATCTCATTTCCCCATCTCAGCTTGTTAAATAAAATTTTTAGGGGCCCTGGGAAACTTTGGATAAGTCCAGCTCCAACCCTTTCAAGCAGTTTTCTTTATCACATCTTTCTTATTCCTTTGGCCCACTTTATGTAATAGACATTTGTGTCAAGATTCCCTTCCTTAGAGTGTATTTCCTTTATATCTTGTCTTGACTATAGAGGCAAATTACTTTTAGCTACCAATCCAGTAATTAACACAACCAGATAACAGGGAAATTGGCTTTTCAGGTGAACAGATTTCCAGGCTGGCAGATCAATAGAAAACAGTTTAATTCAGCAAGACCTGAATGAAACTCAATCATTCAGCTTTGGTCAAAAAGGCTTTCTGAATTTCTCTTTCACATTGTGTTCTGTGAACATACCTGTAACTGACCCTGAATATATGATAGATTTGCTTTCTTTTTTTTTTTTTTTTTTTTTTCATTCCTTGGGGACCATGGATGTGAGTCAGTCATTGTACATCTGAGAAACAGCATTCCTGACAGTGTGGATCTGTGAGGGATTGGTTATCTGAATGATTGGATATACCCATGAGTTTCACTCCTCAAATCTGAAATAGAAGAGTGGTCCATCTTCATGATGCATAAGCTTTATTGGAGGATTTCGTAAAACAAAACAAAACAACAAAAGAAGTTTTTTTTTTCTGGAAAATTAATCACACAAGTTTATTGTGGAGAAGAATGAAAATGAGCGAAAATTTTAAAAGAAGATTTCAAAGGAAATTCCTGTTGTTGATTTACTTTGGCACCAGATTCCCAAGAGTGGACTTTTCCCTCTTCTTTTGTGATAAGAATATTTCATTTTGAAACAATATAGTCAGAGTAGACAGCTCAACGTTACGGAGTTAGATACCTTGGGTCCTACTTTATGTTTTTCTTTTCCCCCCTGTGTTCAAGGTGGGCAAGAAACTTAAGATTTTGAAGTACAAGTTCATACTGATATTTAAGTAAGAAACTAAAATGTTGGTATGAACTCATAATTTTACAAGAGTTTATCCTTACTATGGTAGTTAGAAGAAGGAAGAGACTGTCCATTTCTCAAAGAATTGGCCAGGAAAAACCTTATGAACAGCAGTGAAACACTGTTTGATATGTTACTGGGAAAGCTAATGAGTGGTCCTGAAACATTGTCTGATACAATGCCAGATCATGTGCCCCTCAGGTCAGAAGGCACTCAGAATACTACTGGGAAAAAGCTGCCTCATCAGAGTAGGACGACCAGAATGATATGGATAAAGTAGAGCTTTCAGGACCTCCATTTGCTGATGTGGCATGACTCAAAATGAGAAGAAACAGGTGCAAATATCCGTTAATAATCAGAACATGGAGTGTAATGAAGTATGAATCTAGGAAAATTGGAAGTTGTCCAAAAATGAAATGAAATGCATAAAGAATGCAAAAATGAAATGAAATGCATATCCTAGGCAGTAATGAGCTGAAATGGACTGTTTTTGGCCATTGTGAATCACACAACCATGTGATCTACTATGCCGGGAATGATAAAATGAAGAGGAATGGCATGGCATTCATCCTCACAAAGAATGCTTCAAGATCTATCCTGAAGTACAATGCTGTCAGTGATAGGATAATATCCATATGCCCACAAGGAAAGCCCACTGATACTACTATTATTCAAATTTCAAACCAACCACCAAAGACAAAGATGAGGAAATTGAAGATTTTTACCAACTTCAGTCTGAAATTGACCGAACATGCAATCAGGATGTGCTGATTATCACTGGTGATTGAAATAGAAAACTTGGAAACAAAGAAGAATCACTGGTATTTGGAAAATTTGGCCTTGGTGATAGAAATAACACTGGAGATCACATGATAGAATTTTGCAAGAACAATGACTTATTAATTGCAAATACCTTTTTCTACAACACAAATGGCAGCTATACACATGAACTTCAGCAGATGGCGTACACAGGAATCAGATTGACTACATCTGTGGCAAGAGGCAATGGAAAAGTTCAGTATCTTTAGCCAAAAGAAGGCCAGGAGCTGATTGTGGAACTGACCATCAACTGCTCATATGCAAGTTCAACTTGAAGTTGAAGGCAATTAAAAAAAGTCCATGAGAGCCAAAATATGACCTTGAATATGTCCCTCCTGAATTTAGAGACCATCTAAAGAATAGATTTGATGGATACTAATGACCGAAAATACTAATGACCGAAAACCAGAAGAATTGTGGGATGACATCAAGAACTTCATCCACGAAGAAAGCAATAGGTCATTAAAAATACAAGAAAGAAAAGACCAAAATGGATGTCAGAAGAGACTCTGAAACTTGCCCTTGAACGAAGAGTAGCTAAAGCAAATGAGAGAAATGACAAGATAAAAGAGCTGAACAGAATATTTCAAAGAGCAGCTCATGAAGACAAAGTCAATTATTATAAAGAAATGTGCAAAGACATGGAGTTGGAAAGCCAAAAGGGAAGAACACACTCAGCATTTCTCAAGCTGAAATAAGTGAAGAAAAAAAAAATTAAGCCTAAAGTTGCACTATTGAAAGATTCTATAGGCAAAATATTGAATGATGCAGGAAACATTAAAAGAAAATGGAAGAAATACACAGAGTCACTGTACCAGAAAGAACTGGTTGTTGTTCATCCATTTCAGGAGGTGGCATATGATCAAGAACCAATGGTACTGAAGGAAGAATTCGAAGCAGCACCGAAAGAATTGGCAAAGAACAAGGCTCCAGGAATTGATGGAATATCCACTGAGATGTTTCAACAAATGGATACCCCACTGGAGGGACTTACTCAGCTATGCCAAGAGATTTGGAAGACAGCTACCTGGCCAACTGACTGAAAGATCACCATTCCAAAGAAAGGTGATCCCACAGCATGTGCAAATTATCTAACAATATCATTAATATTGCATGCAAGTAAAATCTTACTAAAGATAACTCAAAAACCATTGCAGCAGTGTATTGACAGAGAACTTCCAGAAATATAAGCTGGATTCAGAAGAGAATGTGGAATAAGGGATATCATTGCTGATGTCAGATGGATCTTGGCTGAAAGCAAAGAATACCAGAAAGATGTTTACTTGTGTTTTATCAACTATGAAAAAAATCAATTGATTGTGGATCACAACAAATTGTAGACAACATTGAGAAGAATGGGAATTCCAGAACACTTAATTGTACTCATAAGGAACCTGTCCATAGACCAGAAGGCTGTCATTCAAACAGAAAAAGGGAACACTGCATGGTTTAAATTCAGGAAAAGAGTGCATCAGGGTTGTATCCTTTCATCATACTTATTCAGTCTTTATGCTGAGCAAATAATCCAAGAACATGGACTATATGAAGAAGAATGTGGCATCAGGATTGGAGGAAGAATCATTAACAACCTGTGATACGCTGACTACAACTTTGCTTGCTGAAAGTGAGGATGACTCGAAGCATGTACTGATGAAGATTGAAGAATACAGTGTGCAGTATGGATTCCATCTCAATATAAAGAAAACAAAAATCCTTACAACTGGACCTATAAGCAGCATCATGATAAATGGAGAAAAGATTGAAATTGTCAAAGACTTCACATTGTTTGGTTCTGTAATTGATACTAATGGAAGCAGTAGTCAAGACATCAGATGATGTATAGCACTGGGCAAATCGGCTGCAAGGGACCTCTTTCAGGTGCTGAAGAGCAAAGATGTCTCC